AGGGGGAAGTCACCTGTAGGGTTTGGGAAGGGGGTGGTGGATGAGGAAGGGAGAGAGGAAAGGAGGTCTCGTTGTGCCATCGTGGATCCATAGGGATGGGGGGGGTCTTTATCTGCTTGGATATCACCCCACAAAGAAGGGATAATTTCAAAGGAAAAGGGTCTCATCGCCTCAAGCCCCAAAATGTCACCCTGCTGGAAGTGTTCCTCACCCAATCTGAGCATTTTGCCACGAGGAAATCGTCCCGCTGCCCCATGAAGCATCACCCATAAAAGGAAGGGGTCCCAATGTTTCAGCATCATCCCACAGGGGTGAGATCATCAGCTGCCTGCAGAGAAGGGCTTCCATCACCCCATCAAGTGTCATCCCAAAAGGAAGGGGTCCCACTGCCCCAGGAAACAACACCTGGCAGGGATGGGTGCCCTTGTTTGACTGAAAATTGCCCCCTGTTGATAAAATTGCCACCGAAGCATCACCCATAAGGAAAGGGGTCCCATCATCTCACCAAACTCTGGCCAACAGGGTCAGGATTCTCATCAGGTCCTGTCACCCCATCAGGCACCATCCCACAAGGAAGGGGTTCCATTGCCCCACAAAGCAATGGGATGGGTGTCCTTGTCTTCCCAAACATCCCCCCATAAGGAAGGGATCCCATTGCCCACCAGCTCAGAAAGGGGAATTGTAAAGCCCTGCTCCTGGGGAGGAAGATCCCTGAGCTCTGGGATATCCCAGGGACTGTCCAGCTGGACAGCAGTTCAGTGGAAAAGCCCGTGGGGGTCCTGGGGGACAGGAAGCTGACCATGGGATGAAGGAGGTGTTGGTTGACAGCACTGAGAGGATCCTTCCCCCTGCTCACTCTTGGAGTGCTGGGTCCAGTGCTGGGCTCCCAGCATGGAAACACTGGAGAGAGTCCAGGGAAGGAGCACTAGGGAGAGTAAAGGACTGGAGCACCTCCCTGGTGAGGAGAGGGAGAGCTGGGAGAAGAGAAGGCTCCAGGGACCTGCACACACACCCCTGGAGGGAGGGCGTGGAGGGGACAGAGGGACAGAGCCAGACTCAGCTCCGTGCTGCCCATGCCAGGACCGGGGCAGGTGGCACAGACTGAGTCCCACGGCTTCCTCTGGCCATCAGGGAGCACTGCCACACTGGGACTGCCCTTGGAGATATCCAAAAGCACTGGGCAAGGTGCTGTGCAGCCAGCCCTGGGTGACCCTGCTGGGGTTGGGGGGTGACTTCCTGAGGTCTCTCCCAATCTCAGCTCCCGCTGTTAGATTCTCTCTTGTGCACCTGGATATCCTTCCACAAGGAAGGCTTGCCCTGCTCCATGAAATATCACCTTGCAGGGAGAGGTGCCTTGTCTGACCAAGGGTCAGACAAGGGTCCTCTCAGTGGCAGCCCAAAAGAAAGGGGTTTTATTGCCCCATCAAGCCTTGGGCCACAGGGAAAGGCCCCCCAGCCACTTGAGCATCACCCCACAGGGAACGACTCCCATTGTCCACCCAGACAGCTCAGCAGAGAGCAGCCGCCCGGCTGGGCCTGTGCTGTGCCAGGGAAGCTCTGCCCTTCCCGCTGCCTTTTGGGGTTCCTCTCATGACAGGGGGGCACCCTGGGAGAACCTGGCAGGGTCCCGTGGCTGCTCCCATCCTTGCTTTGCAGCAGGCAGGGCTTGGCACCGGAGCAGCTGAGGAGACGGGCAGGGGTGACCCAGGGCTCAGCACTGCCATGAGTTTCACAGCCCCAGCGCAGCCCAGGTGGAGGGGACACGCATCCCCCTGCGCCCACGGGGGCGGGGGGCGCATTTCGGGGCTGCCGTGCCCCGGCACCGGCGGGGAAAGGCGGCGCGGGCTGCCAGCGGGGGCTGCAGGCTCCTGGCGCTGCCGGATGCGGCCCCGCTGGCCAGCGCCAGTAATGGAAGACATGTGTGTGGGCTTTGGGGAGAGGCTGCGCTGGGAAACAGGGCCCTGCAGAGACCGGGGGGCTGTATCCTGTCCAAAAGCCCAGGTCCCACATGAAGCCAGGCATGCGAACGCGATCCAAACCACAGCTGGATTTGAACCGAATCTCCCAGCATCTGGGCTAATTTGCTGCAACTTTGATTGATCGTGGGGAGGGGGCACAGGCGGGAAACGCTCCAGCTCAGACCTCCCAACAGAGCCAATGACTTAACCAGAGCTGGTTCCAATCTGCTCAGCACATTGAGGCGAAAATGCCCCTTTTCTCTGCGCGCTGCCGGTCGCCGGCGCTGGCTCTTGTCGCGGTCCCGCAGCCCGGCCGTGCCCGTCCCTCGGAGCTGGACACCGGCTGCAGCTCCCTGGGGACACCCGGCAGTTTTTGAGAGCTCTGGCTGCAGAACGCTGGCTCAGGCTGCTGTGTTAGGATCCCTCCAGAAGGCTGTGCAGGACAGGACAGGGGGATACTCGTGCACGAAACACCCCTCCACCTGCCCCAAAGCCCCGCGGGCACCGATCCGCCCCTCCGCTCCTGGGAGAGGCCGGGAATGGGAGAGGAGCTGCAAAGGGGGGGGTGGAAAAGGTGAAGGGTTTTTCCATTCCCTCCCTCGGCCGCTGCCCCCGAGGCTCGGCGTCACTCAGCAGGTAGCTGGGGCAGCCCGGGGTCCCGGCCGGCCCCGGGGGATGCAGCTGTCTGGGAGCCGCTCGCTGCCGTGATTTATGCAGCTCAGCCCCATAAATTACCGGGACGGAGCCCGCGGGAGCCATCGCTCACAGCGACGTCCAAAGCTCGCTGCCAGAACCTGAAACACTTCCAGCCGTTAATTGAAGAGGGGGGGAGAAAAGAAAAAAAAAATGGGAGAGGGGGGAGAAATTAGTGCCCGGGGAGTTGGGATTAAACCGCGGCTCGAACGAGGGTCGCCCACGTCCCGCTCCCAGGATCCCAGCGCTTCCTGTGGGCAAGAGCCCAGCGTGGGGAGCAGGGAGGGGAATTTCTGAGCCGGTGCCTGGGATGAGCCCGTGGGCAGTGACACTCCGTCCCGGTCCCAGGGCGACGTCTCCGTAGTGAGCCGGGACACGCTGAGTCTGAAGGGAATCCGAGGATGAGCTCCAGGTGAGTGTGCTGAGCTGTGAGAGCAACGGCTGCCACCAGCTTGCACCTTCCCTGCCCGCACCCATCCCTTTTTGTCCCAAATTTAGGGCTGGCCAAACCCTGTCCCAGGCACCAGGGACCCCACCTTGACTGCCATTCACCGGGGGACCAGGGTCATGGGCTGAAACCCCAAGAGCCCAAGCGGGAGGGATGGCACAGCTCGGGGTGCCCCGCTCAGGTCAGGGGGTGCCAGCGGGACACCCCAGGACTAGCAGCCGGCCTGGGGAAGCCCATCACGATGCTTTGCTGTACCAGGAGGTTGTGCAAGAGACTGCGGCTGTGAGAAAGGAGAAGTGAAAGTGTGAAGCGAGAGGCGGCTCCCCCCGCGCCGAGGGGGGCACCCCATGCTGCACCTCAAGCCCAGCAGCTTTTTCAGGCTGGAGGGATGAAGCCGGGAGAAACGTGGCTTTGCCTCCCCCTCCTCCTCCTCTTTCTCCTCCTCGTCCCAAACCACCGCGAGCCCCCAGCCCACCCCGAGCCACCGCCACCGCACATCTGGGCGCCAGCGCTGCGCGCCCCTCCCGCTTTCTGCTCTCCCCCCTCACCAGCAAATGACGCCCGTCTCCCTTCCCTCCCTGCTCCCCAGAACCCTGTCCAACATCACCTGCACTCATCGGACACGATGTTCCACCCTCTGCACCCCGGAACGACCACCCACCCACACCATCCTTCCCAACCGATGGGTGCCACCCCGCTCTGCGTGTCAGCACCCGTCCCTCGGGTGGGGCCGCAAGCGGAGCCCCGCTGCTTTCCCGTTCCCCAGCACCGTCCGCCCCGTCGGGTCCCACCTGCGCGGGGAGGAGCCGCCTCCGGTACCGGGCGGGGTGCGGCGCACCGGGCGCCGCTAGATGGCGCCCTACGAGCGGTACCGACGGGGGGGACACCTCGCCCTTTGCCCGGGGACACCCCGGGTCCCCCCTCTTCGGGCTCCCGGCCCCAGCCGGGCTGGCCCGGGGCAAAGAGCGATGTCCTAAGGATAGAGACCCCCGAGGGGGCGGCCGGGGCGCGGCAGGAGATGACCGGGAGGAGGGAAAAACCGGGCTGGGAGGAGGAGGAGGAGACCGGGATGGGGAGGGAGGGGTGTGTAAAGGGGGGGGCCCGGCTTGTCGGTGCCCCGCCCGGGGATGGGAGGAGGAAAACCTCCCGCCGTCCCTTTAACAGCCAGCGGCGCTGCTCGGAGTTCAGGCCGGGGTCAGGGGGAGTTCGCAGCCCGGGTTTCACCTCCGAGCTGGCGGCGTCGGGAACCCCGAGGAACCGCTGCTGCTTCTTCCACAACCACCTCCTCCTCCTCTTCCTCCTCCTCCCGTTCCGTAGGACCGGCCGGGAGCGCGGGGTATGGAGGAAGAGAAGCAGCAGAGGAAGAGGAGGGTGGAGGGGAGCAGCAACCGGCGGCGGCCCCCCCGGGGCTGAGCCATGAGAGTTCACCGAGACCTCAGCTGGCTGGCGGAGGCCACCGGACGCCCAGGTAAAAGGAGGGGGGGAACACCCCGAAATACGGGGGAAATCAGCCGAAAAAGCAGCTCCGCGGGCGCTTGGCTTTACGCACCTGGGCGGGGGGGGGGCACCGGCACCGGGACGGAGGCGGGGAGGGGAGGTCCCGCTGCCCCCCACACCCCCAACCATCCCCCCGCTCACCTCGAGGGGGGGAGAGGAAACGGGGGCGGGGGGCGCCCGAGGGGTCCGGCCGGCCGCCTCCCGGGACCGGGGCGCATAAGAAGCGGGGAGGCGCGGCGGGGAGCGGGACGGCGGCGGGGATCGGCGGGCGGGTGGCGGACACCGGGTCGGGGTGTCCCCCGCTGCTCTCCCGCGGCAGGTGGGCGCGGGGTCGCGGGATCCCACGGCTGGCGGGGCCGGGGCGCGGCACTGGCGGCGGCGGCGGGTGATGTCACTTTCTCCAAAACCCTCCGGGGGTTTTCGCCCCCCTCCCGCCCCCCCGGCCCGCCGAGAAACAAGCCCCCATATAAGCGGTGGCACCGGCCGGGCGGCCGCGCAGAGCGGCCGGGAGGCAGCGGTGCGTGGGGCTGAGACCCGCCCCTCCCGCGCCGCCCGCCCCACGCGTGGGTGAAGCCCCGGGCGCGCACGTCGAGCCCCCCGCGCGTTGCGGAGGGCACGCGGGGCCGGGCACGGCGCTGACGGGGCGGCCGGTGTGTTGCAGGGCGGCGGGCTCGGAGCGGGATGCTGGACGCCATGGAGGTGCCGAGCCACTCGCGGCAGCTGCTGCTGCAGCTGAACACGCAGCGCACCAAGGGCTTCCTGTGCGACGTGATCATCGTGGTGCAGAACGCGCTTTTCCGTGCGCACAAGAACATCCTGGCCGCCAGCAGCGCCTACCTCAAGTCGCTGGTGGTCCACGACAACCTGCTCAACCTGGACCATGAGATGGTGAGCCCCGGCATCTTCCGCCTCATCCTCGACTTCATCTACACCGGCCGCCTGGCCGAGTGCGAGCCGGGCAGCGAGCAGAGCCTGGGTGCTGTGCTGGCTGCCGCCAGCTACCTCCAGATCCCCGGCTTGGTGGCCCTTTGCAAGAAGAAGCTGAAGCGCAGCGGCAAGTACTGCCACCTGCGCGGGGGTTACGCGCCCTACAAGCTGGGCCGCGGGCTGCGGGCCGCCACGCCGGTCATCCAGGCTTGCTACTCGGGGACACCGCGGCCCGTGGACCTGCCGCCCGTGGAGCCGGCGGCGCCGCTCAACACGCAGTGTGGGGAGCTGTACGCCTCGGCCGCCCAGGGCGCCCCGCTGCACCCCCACGGGCTGTGCCCGCCCGAGCGCCACTGCTCGCCGCCCTGCGGCCTCGACCTCTCCAAGAAGAGCCCCACCGGCCCCTCCGCCCAGCTCCTGCCCACCGACCGCCTGCTGCCCAGCGAGCCCCGAGAGCCCTCGCTGCCCCCACGGCACGACAGCCCCCCGGTCAGCGCCGGCCTCCTGGGCAGCCACGCCGCTGCCTACAAGGACTCCCCGCCGGGCGGCGAGCCGGGGGGGCACCCCCACGCCCCCGACCCCTTCCGCAGCACGCCGCCCTGCGCCGAGCCCCCGCTGCCCCGCGCTGACGGGCGGGAGCTGATGTACCGCTGGATGAAGCACGAGCCCCTGGGCCCCTACCTGGACGAGGGGGAGGCGGAGAAGGAGCTGGAGCGGGAGGAGAAGGCCGAATCGCCACCCGCGGCGCCGCAGCCCCGCTACCCCAGCGTGGAGAGCAACGACCTGGAGCCTGATAACAGCACCAGCGAGGAGACGGGCAGCAGCGAGGGCCCCTCGCCCGGGGACGCGCTGGACCGCTACTGCAACCACCTGGGCTACGAGCCGGAGAGCCTGGGCGACAACCTGTACGTCTGCATCCCCTGTGGCAAGGGCTTCCCCAGCTCCGAGCAGCTGAACGCCCACGTGGAGGCCCACAACGAAGAGGAGCTCTATCACAAGGCGGCGGCCGAGCAGGCCGTGCCCTTCCTAGACAAAGGTGGCCCCGGGCTTGGTGACATCTTGCGGCCTTACCGCTGCTCCTCCTGCGACAAGTCCTACAAGGACCCGGCCACGCTGCGGCAGCACGAGAAGACGCACTGGCTGACGCGCCCCTACCCCTGCACCATCTGCGGCAAGAAGTTCACGCAGCGCGGCACCATGACCCGCCACATGCGCAGCCACCTCGGCCTGAAGCCCTTCGCCTGCGACGCCTGCGGGATGCGCTTCACCCGGCAGTACCGCCTGACCGAGCACATGCGCATCCACTCGGGCGAGAAGCCCTACGAGTGCCAGGTGTGCGGCGGGAAGTTCGCCCAGCAGCGCAACCTCATCAGCCACATGAAGATGCACGCGGCCGGCCCCGACGGCAAAGCCAAGCTGGACTTCCCCGACAGCGTCTACGCCATGGCCCGGCTCACGGCCGACCAGCTGGGACTCAAGCAGGAGAAGGCGGCCGAGCTGCTGTCCCACACCTCGCACTTCCTCAGCGACCCCAAGGCCATGGAGAGCCTCTATCCCCTGGCCAAGTTCACGGCTGAGCACCTGGGGCTGAGCCAGGACAAGGCGGCCGAGGTGCTGGTGCAGGCTCCACACCTGCACACCGAGGCCGCCCGGACCATAGAGCGATACTCGCCCCCCTAGCACCGGCCTGGCCGGGGGGCTGGGGGGGCCGCTGGGCTCCCCTCGCTGCCCCGTGTGGAGCTGGGGGGGGGGGCGAGAGGTGACGGGTGCTCGTCCCCCGGCGCTGCCGACGGTCCCGGAGAACTCGCTCGTAGCGAAGGTCCCATGAGAGCTGCTCCGGGATGGATGGACGGCGCGTCCCTCGACCAGCGCCCCGGCTTGCCCGGGAGAAGCCGATCAATCAGGGACTGACCCCGCGGCACCTCCGCCCCTTGCCGTGGGGGTGCCGGGACCCCGGCACCGGGCGGCAGCGACGCACAAGCTGTGAGGCCGGGCTGCGCCCCGAGGCTTTGGAGGACATGAGCCCGCTCCTTACCTCAGGGCTGCCCCGGGCGAGGGGACGCCCTCGGGAGCCCCACGGCGGGACCCGCCGGCGCTCGGCTGCGGCGGACGGGACCCGGACTGTGCCCCCCGACCGCCGCGGGCCGTGAGTAGCTCTCGTCCGTCGTGGCCGCAGCGACGCCTCCGCGCCGAGCGGGGCCGGGGCGTGTGCCCGGGCAGCCCCCGGGGCTCGGGGACGGACTGACGGAGGGGGACGGTGGGGTGCGAGCGGCGGGCGCGGGACGGGGGAGCGGCGGGCACGTCCGTGCTGGGGAGGCCGGGGAATCGCGATGCTCCTCGCCCCGGAGCGAGCACTGACCTCCCGTCCCGAAGGCAGGGGCTCAGCCGGCTGCTCCCCGTGTTTTTTGGGAGGTGGGGCAGGGCCTGTCCCAGACTGAGCCCCTGGGCCCTGCCTCGCCATCAGGGATGCCCGAGGCACCCGGGCCAGCCCCGGGACCCGGCGGATTCGCCCTCGGGCGGCCACTCGCCTTGATTATTTTTTAATTTTTTTATTTTTGCCAAAGACGCCCGTCTCCAGCGCGGCCGGGCAGGGCCGGGGGGTCCATGACAAAGACAAAGCGGTCTCTGGTTTGTCAGCTACGGGAGGTGGGCAGGGGCTGCTGGAGGGGGCCGTGGGGCAGAGCCCAGGGGGTGCATGCGACCTGGGGCCGAGTCCCCCTCGGGCACCTTCTGCCACCAGCACACCCCTCTCCCACCTTCTGCTCGGTGTGGGCCAAGTCCCCCCAGCCTGGACCCCCCCGGCCCGTGCCCTGACCCCTCCGTTGGGGCTAATGTGAAGCTTCTCCCCCCTCCTGAGCCCCCTCCTCTCCTTTGCACACGAGGCTCCGGGCGGCCGCCAGCAGCGACTGCCCCCGGCCTCGCAGCCACTGTGCCTTAGCCCGAGCTGGCCGCTCCTGCCCAGCTGCCCCCCGAGCCTCCCGGGGCTGTCCCGGTCCCCCAGGGCCGGCAGCGTGCCCCGGAGCTACCGTGGGGTGACTGGCGGCGGTGGCAGCACCCAAAGCACAGCTGGCAGCGCCCAGCGGGGCCCCAGCCCCTCCTGTATCACGTCCAATTTGTACACGGGCTTCTCGCCCTTTTTTTTTCTATAGTCGAAACGGAATGAGCAATAAAGTGACATTAACACGCGTGGCCTCGCGTTCTTCTCTGGGGAGGGGTCTGGCTGGTGCAGGGCTGAAGCTGAGCACGGCTGGGAGTGACCCCGGGGGTCACCTGTAGGTGCAGAGCTGCAGGGATGGGACCCAAGGGGCTTTGTTGTGCATCTGGTTAGCCAAGACCCCCTCAGCACCAGATGCAGGTGGGACAGAGCTGTTGTCATCCTTACAATGTGTCCCACTGCTGTCCCTCCCTGGTGTCCCCCCAACCCAACCTCAGCAGCAACTCATGGGCTGACAACAAATGACACACCACGCTGCACTGACACATGTTTAATACTAAAAATTATGAAAACCAACTTAACATCCCGAACGCGGGCGCTGCCCAAGACAAGGGCTCCGAGCAGCCTGGCAGGGATGGCCCCAGGCGCTCAAGCTCTGCTCGCCGTTGTGCCACCTGGTCTGGTGGCACCAAAACTGTCCCATGGCCGAGCCTGTGACACATCTGGCAAAGCTGCAGGGCCCTCCAGGCTGGTGGTACCTCAGAAAGGGCCTCAGAAAGCAGCACTGGGGCAGCACCGTAAGAAAACAAACACTGAAACACACCCGGCGTGGAGAAGAAGGCAAAGTCTCTGCAAAGCTGGCAGCCAGCACGGCTGTGGGCAAGGAATCGGGGTGTGGGTGCTGTGCCCGATGGCTCCGTGTGCCCCACAGCAGCCGTGGGCACCCCAAAGTCTCTGTGGGCCGGGCTGAGCCCTGCGGCACAGCCTGTGCCCGGTGCCCCGGGTGGGCACTGCTCTGGCACAGGTCACCCAGCACAACCCGCGCGTCCATCGTGCTGCCGAGGCTCTGACCCTGCACTGGCACTGCCCGTGGGGCTGGCAGCTGGCACGGGGGGAACTGGGCTTCCTGATGCAGACTCCGGCTCCGAGCCACCCACACAGGAAAGGAAAACGCTGGGCTCTGTCCTGCTGCTTCCTCCACCACCTCTGACACGTCCCTCCCACGGCTGCGGCGCCCCGGCGGGGACCAGGGTGGCCTTGGGGCTGCTCCCACCCTCGGCTCATGGGACTGGGACTTGACAGAGCTCCAGGGGCTCTGGTTCAGGGGTTAATGCTCCCTCTTAGCTTCTGTATCGGGTGTGTCACTGGGGACGGGACACTTGGTGATGGGACACTTGGTGATGGGACAACGTGGGGTGTGGAAGGCTTAGCAGCACCCCAACCCCAAATCCAAGTGCAAAAATGACCCAGGGAACGAGGCAATGGCTCCATCCATGGACCCTCTCAGCTAGGCAAATAGTGGGGCTGAGCATTTCTGTGGTTCTCTCTGACTCTGCAGCCATAGGCAGGAGCCAGATGCCACATGAAGAGGAGCCTGTGGCAACGTGAGGACACACAGTACCCACAGGACAGCTGGTCCTGGAGTCCTTGGAGAATTTTGTTTGCCTCACACTGAGTCTCAGGTCAAAAGCATGGTTTAAGGTAGCAGGGTAGGACAAAGGGGTTTGGGGGAGAAGGGAAGGGGCAAGCAATGGCTGGGGTGGGCAGGGGGTCAGGACAAAGCAGCTGTGGGGGTGTTCAAAGCCTCCCCCAGCAAAGCAGGCAGGGCACACACCTGAAAACTAACCTACACCAAAAAAATGAAACTCAACAAGCAAACCCTGCACCACGGAGAGGACAAACCCCTCTGCAAGCAGCACTCCTGCATGGGGCAGCACACGGTGGGGAAGGGCAGGGGGACCTGGGGCTGTCTGGCCATGCAGAACAAATAGGCTGGGACAGGGGGAAACCTGCCCTTGAAATCCATGGCCTCTCCAAGGGGTACAGGCTGGACTAAACAATCCCAAAGTCTGTGCCGGCGTGTCCCCGATCTCTGCCCTACGCAGCCTACAAACCCAAAGAGCCACCGAGGCGTGACTCGAGCTCTCTGCACCCAAGCAAACCAAGCGAAAGGCTGGTGATCCAGCACAGGGCTCACCCAAAGCTTCCCTCGCCAGCAGGGCTCTCCAGCCCCGCGCTGGCACTGCCCAAAGGCCGGCGGGACCCTCAACGGCCCAGCCTCCACGTGAACCATCCACAGCAATGACCTTCCCAGCTGGTCTGCCCTCGGGGGGCCCTTGGCAGCACGGCCATTCTGGGGTGGGTTGAAGACGTGGCGTTTATTGTTCGTGGTGGGCTGGCGGCGGTGGCGGCGCTGGAGCCGGGCTCCCACCGTCAGGGGCTGCGTGACTCGCTCAGGGGCCCTGGGCCCCGCTCGGCCTCCTCAGCCCTCCTGAGCCCACTTGAGGAAGGTGGGGATGTCCCGCACCGGCACGTTGCGGGTCAGCGCTTTGACTCGCAGGTTCCGGTCGTCCGTCAGCAAAACCACTTCCCTGAGCAAACGGATGGGATCGTCTGCAACGAGACACACGCGGAGCGCAGTGAAGCTCAGGCCCGCCCTGGGCCTTCCACCCATCCCATGCTGTGCTCCCCGACCCTCCCTGCTCCTCACCGAGCTTCCTGGTGGGCCTCGGACACAGCCCTGCATCCCCAAGGCCATCTGCTGCCCTCTCGGTGCTCACCAGGGACGATTTGTGATCGCTGCCCGCTGCCCACAGGGGCGGCGGACTGGCCACAGGCTGGGAAGAGCAGGTCCCTGCCTGACCCAGGCCAGGAAGACAGCCTGCGACCCTGGCTCCAGCAGGAAGCTGGTGCTATTATTCTGTTGATCTCATTATAAGATCTAAAGCCACCCCTTATTTTTTGCGGAGCTTTTTTGGAGTCGCCACTGACACTGAGGCGTTTCTGGCTGGGGCTCAGACAGACACTGAGAGTTGATGCCTGAGAAAAGCGAAGGGATCTTGCCCCCAGATGGATGAGCTGCCCCGCACGCAACGCGCCGGGCTGAGATGTGGGAGCCACGCTTACGTGTGTGCGAGGCAGGGGAAGCATATGGGGTATGTGTAAGCAGCTGGGTCCTGTGACCAGAGTACTGTTCCTATGAGCACAGGAAACACAGTGCCTCCGAGCCAGGACGGGAATGGAAAAAACAGAGTTTATGGGAGCCCAACATGGGCCCAGATTGGCTGCGCAGGGAGCAGCAGGACGAGGGGAAGGGGAGGGTGGCCAGGAACGCGGGCTATGGTCACGGTGTTGGGACTGGGGACGGCGGGCGAGCCCGGCTGGCCTGTGCTGAAGGAAGGGAACTGGGGGCTCAGTGGCAAGGCAGGCCAAGGATTGAGAGCCGCCTCAAGTGGGACCGGGAGGTTTTGTGCGGACACTTTAAGAAATGTGTAACAATAAACATCCTCTGCCCCGCGCTGGTGACGCGCCTCCTTGTTACAAACCAGAGGCTGTCAGCTTGTCAGGCCCCATTCCCCGTAATCCACATGATTTCAAAATTCAGCATCATTTGCACATAAACATTTGGTGACGGTTTCTCTGTGGATCTGACAAGTTAAGCTGCTAAGAATTCGTGCTGACAAATGCGGGTTGATTTCTTGGGCAGCTGCTGATGTGATTCCCATCCCTGCCGCCCTGGCAACAGCCTGGAGGCTGTCTGGTCCCAGCACACATGGCTGATGCCAACCAGGAATCCAGAGGAAAAAGACTGCTGGACAGAAAGCATCAGGGGTCATGGGGAGGAGGCATTTTCTGGCCCTTTGTCACCACAAAAAAGGATCTGTGGATGTTTATGGTGGGTTTGTCACAGGCCGGGGCATCCCCAAGGTGCCATGAGGTGACATTTGGCAATAAGGTGGGAGGGCCACAGCCTGGGGCTGACCGGAGGCA